GACTGGAGATCATCCGCTGGATGGTCAGCCAGGGCGCGCGCAACCTGATTGTTACATCGAGAAAGGGACCTAGTGATGAGGCCTCCAAGGGTCTCGTCAGTGAGCTGCAAGGCAACGGCGTCAAGATTGTCACTCCTCACTGCGACATCACTGACAAGAAGGCGTTGGAGAACGCAGTTTCTTCAGCTCTTGCCTCCTTGCCTCCAGTCCGTGGATGCATCCAAGCTTCGACGGTTCTCAACGTAAGTCTTCCCGAATCCTCATTTTCCAAGAATCCAACTAACACCTTTTCAGGACAATGCTTTCGGCGAGATGACTCTCGACCAGTGGAACACCGCCGTCAACGTCAAGGTCACGGGAACCAAGAACCTGTGGGAGGTGCTTTCCGGCGCTTCCGCGCTTGACTTCTTCGTCATGCTGTCATCCCTGACCAGCGTCACCGGCAACCAAGGCCAGGCCAACTACAGTGCTGGCAACTCGTTCCAGGATGCCTTCGCCAAGTTCCTCTCCGCTCAAGGCCACAACGTCGCCGCCCTCGACGCGCCTGTCCTGACTGATGCGGGCATGGTCGCCGCCAGACCCCATTTGAGGACCTACCTGCTCTCCATCGGTTGGGCTTCCATGTCCGTCGAGGAGCTCATCAACGCGCTTGACTACTACTGCCGCCCCAACTCGCAGAGCGCAGAGGAGAAGGTCAAGGAAGCCCAAGTCGTTCCCAGACTCTGGCTTCCCAAGTACTCCGCAGACGAGGGCGCTGAGCAGCCTACCTGGCAGACCGAGCCCATGTACAACCACCTGGTTCTTCAGGGCGCTGGAAACGGCGGCTCGCTGCCCGGAAAGCAGGGCTCATCCAAGTGCTCAGTTGGGGACCTGATCGCGGCAGCCGAGACACTGGAGGATGCCGAGCAGATCGTCCTTGACGCCTTACTGGCGCAGCTTTCCAAGATTCTTAGCTACGAGTTGGCTGACCTGGACCCCTCCAGGCCCTTGAACGCCTACGGCGTCGACTCGCTGGTGGCTGTCGAGCTTCGCGTGTGGATGACCAAGGAGATTGGAGCCGACATCTCGGTCTTCGAGATCACCAGCGGCCAGCGCATCAAGCAACTTGCCGGAAAGGCGGCTGCTACGTCGAGATTCCGCCCGGCCGCGAAGGCCGAGTAAAGTTTTGATTCAGATGTTTCATAGATACCACGAGAGGGGGAATGATAAAAAGATTGTAATTAGTTGTTGATATATTATTCGTGTCACGTTTACTCGTCAGCCGGAGGCATCAAGCGTAGTTAAAGTGTCCCCAAGCTTTACTTAGCTCTTTTGATTACCTTAAAATTACGATATCTCGCGGGCTCTCCGTTAACCCTCCAGATGAAGGAGGCCCCCCCAACAGTGATGTTCAGATCTCAGCAAGCATGCTTATGCGGCCCTCTTCGCCGAACGCCTCTTCGTCCGTCTGAGGCCATCTTGCCGTCGTTAGTGCATTTCTCTCAAATATGATAGACTCTCCCCTCAAACCGGGGCATTTGCAACCCATGACATATGTACGTACTTGATCGCTTTCTCCGATATCACGCAAGAGGCTGGCCTTTGCCTCGCATTGGTGTCACTGCTGTACTCCACAGTGTGGATTCATTTTGACGTGTTGCAACAAGCGTGAGTTTGACAAGCCCCTCACAGGTAGGGTGACCCTGGACAGTAGTGGATGCAGAGTCATGACAGGGCGCCATTGACCCAAATACCGACACTACCGTGCCTGTTTCAATTGGCCGTTATGCAGACAAAACACAGTGCAAACCAGGGGACGATGCTGCGGAGCTTGCGGTTGTTCCCCTGGCCATCGCGTAGCAACAAGCGGTGATCGACCCGATATATTGAAAATTGGGTCAGAGAAAGTACCATACCACGTTGTCATGTAGGAATTGCACATATAAAGACCGCATACCGCCTGCCTAGCCTCGTCTGAAAGTGAATTCTGCGTCACAAATTCAACTCTTTCATATGTATCCATCCTTCTCTCAACACATGCTCGTCCCCATTATGTCTTCCCAAACGCCCCTCAAAATCATTCTTGGAACGCACAGCGTGAGTATCCAAATGAGACACCAAGTGAATGTTGCTGAAATCATAACAGGTCGGCGATTCCGTTGTCGACCCTGGATCCTCTCACTTTGACAGTGAGCAAGATGTCCAAGCTCTTCTGGATGCGTTCTATGCTCGCGGATACAACAACCTGGACACAGCTCGTGACTACTCCCCGAGCGTCCAGGGCGCTTCGGAATCACGCCTTGGTCGGGCCAACGCCGCCTCTCGATTCACCATCCACACCAAAGTCCACAGCGCAGACCCCGGTGATCATCAGCCTGCAAACCTTGAAGTCAGCATTGGCAAGTCGTTGAGCGATCTTCAAACATCCACCGTTGAGACGATGTTTCTGCATTTTCCGGATCGCCAAACCCCTTTCGAGGATACGATTAAAGCGATGGACGCTGCTCTGAAGCAAGGGAAGTTCAAGAACTACGGTCTATCGAACTACTCTGCCGCCGAGGTGCAGAAGGCTCTGGAGATCTGCGAGCAAAATGGTTACACCAAGCCCAGCGTGTATGAGGGGCATTACAATGCTATTGTGAGAGGAGGCGAGAAGGAGCTTTTCCCCCTGTTGCGCAAGCACAACATGGCATTCTATGCGTACAGGTATGTTATGTCATCGAGTATTTTATAGGAGAACCCAGTCTGACAATCTATCAGTCCCGCAGCTGGCGGCCTTTTCTCAGGACACAAGGCTTCGTCAGGCCGGTGGAAGAGCGATGTAAGTTCCGAATGTCATTGTAGTCTCACTGACTCTAACGCAAGAACAGAACTTTATTGGCAAGGTTTACACCTACATGTACCGTAAACCTCCAGTTCGTCTCGCGGTGTCTACGATCCTGAAGCTTGCCGAGAAACATGGCATCAGCGGACACGCAGCTGCTATGCGATGGACGGCGTTCCACAGTAACTTGGATGTGGCACACGGCGATGCGATTATCTTCGGCGTTTCCAAGGTGGAGCAACTCCACTCGACACTTGATGCGCTTGAGGCTGGTCCTCTTCCCGAGGATTTGGCGGCCGCTATTACTGCTGTCTACTCTAAAGTGGAAGGCGCAGAGCCTCCCTATCACCTTTAGACTGTCGTCGATCCAATACTAGGCTCATAAACGTTGCATACTCGAATTCAATCTTGAGTAATCTGAATCAATCCCGCATTATCTCGATTTGAAATGCTCCCATCTTCACAGTGAATATCGAAACATAGGCAGGTTTAACTAGGTGTCTCTTCCGGCACTAAGTATCTCGAACTCGACCAACAAACTTCTACCCACAGCCGGCATAACCAAGAGGTGAGGCTATAATAAAAAGAATGAGGTCGAAACTCCCGAGGGTGCCGTGCTGACAATTCCAATGCCGGGATCCCGATCCTGGCGCCAGTTCAGGAAATGATGCGCCAGAGCGTGGCGCCTCATGCCGAAAACTAAGCTTTCGTCGGAGGGATTCGGTGGCCCCCGGTCCCGAACTGGTAGTACTGGTGCCGTAAGCCTCGTCTCAACGCGGCATCGACTTTCAAAAATACGGGGATTTAGACTGCTGACCAACTGCGTGCGCTGGTGCCTGGGCTGACGCCCGACGGGATTTAGTCTGGATCGCCGCCCGTTGACTCGTATTAGCACACCGACGGTTCGTAAGATTGGGGGAGGCACTAACACACTAGGTTCCGCCCAAGCCTTCGATGTCGCGTCACGGTCCCTCAAGGTTATGCTTCGTCCGATGTTAAAAGGCCGTGGCTTCGCAACTCAAGTTCAGTACTTTGGACGGTTGGTATGTGCATTCACAGAAAACAACATTTATCATGGTCAACTTCAACTTTGTTACGTTGCTTGCAGGACTTTGCGCCTCAGCTGCGATTCAGGATGCGGTCAAAAGAGAGGTCTCCTCCGATGGGTGCAAAAAAGAATTACCGAGTAATCGATCAGTTGGTCACGAGTACCTGATACCCTACAAGGATGATCAAGGCCACGATCGAGACTATCTGCTGTTCATCCCGCCAAAATACTCCAAAACGAGTCCCAACCCGATAATCTTCTCATACCATGGCGGAACCAAGAGTCCCGAAGAGCAAAGGGATTTGGATCTTCTAGAAACGCCTTATTTCAATAAGGACCATATTGTTGTGTATCTTAGGGGCTACGAGGTAAGAGCCTTTGCGCGAAATATCGTGGACAACGATGATTAACCAAACTAGGGACGATGGGAGGGCGTGCCCAATATCACACCGCGAAATGACGTCCTCTATACCAACACGGTTCTCGACGATCTTGAGTCGGCATACTGCATCGACAAATCTCGCGTATTCATGACTGGAAAGTCCAATGGAGGCGGTTTCACCAACTTTGCTGCATGCAACAAGCAGCTTTCGACGCGCTTTGCTGCTTTCGCCCCTGTGTCTGGGTCATACTACATCGAAAATGTGACGGACTGCGACCCAAAGACCGTGAAAATCCCTTGCGACGCCGGGAGGACAAACATTCCAATGATTGAATTTCACGGCGGCATCGACGGCACTATTCCGTATAACGGCAGCGATAGTCGACGAGGAGCGTGCTTGCCAGACGTCTTCCACTGGGTCACGGAGTGGGCGGTCCGTGACGGTCTTGGCGAGAAGCCGACTGAGTGCAACATCACCTCTAGGGCACAGAGGTATCAATGGGGCTCAGGAGATAAGAAGGGATTGGTGAATCATGTGTTTGAGAAGGATGTCGACCACAGCTGGCCTTACACCGGAGCCAATGACGACAACAAGGCCCACGGAGATGGTCCGGCGTCGTACAACGCCTCGTCGTACATCATGGACTTCTTCTCGAAGCACCCTCTCAATTGAGTCTACGACGTAGGTGGATTTGATTTCAATAGTATATACTTTGAATAGACATTTTATGATGATGAAACTATCACAATATTCATGACATGCATTCTCAACTGAGCATCAGCTCCCGCCGCCACCTCCACCATCACCGCCACACCCGCCGTCTCCTCCTCCACTTCCTCCATCTCCTCCGCCTCCTCCATCACCGCTGCCACCGAAGTCCCAGGTGCCCCCGTCAAATGGTATGTCAAGTCCCTCAGACACATAGTACCTTCCTCTAGTTCCTACTTTTCTCTCTTTCACAGGATTCATCCCACCTAGAGTCCATTGGACTTTAGCTCTGGCAGGGTGTCCTGGTGGAACAATAGCCGCGTCTGGGAAATACCCCTCCATGTCACCTTGATGCAAAGAGTGTTTCTTGTCATACCAGATGCCGTTCCTCTTCTTCCATTCTAGATCAGTCTCTCCCAAAGTCCGCTTAGCTGCCTCGGCCGAAGCCATCGGCTCATAGTCTATCAGTCTCCCTGCCGTAGTGAAACTCCAAACCCAGTAGCTGGCTGGATAGAGACGATGCGTATGCCAGAGGAGATCTACCATCAGGTTTGGGGGCACAAACTCGCGGTTCCTCGGCTCCGACATGATTGCACCACGTACCGGGAGCGCATCCATATCGAGCTTCCATATATCCTTGTAAGGTGCCTTTTTCATCGTCGGAGGTATTCCATGAAGCTTGGTGAATCGTTCGTAATCCCCCAAGGATGCCGTCAGGTGTTGTCGCGAGGCGGCATCCGGATCTGAGTCGCGTGCCTTCAGGACAGCCTTCCAAAAGGCGACTTGACGGTTGAAAACCTCTGCAAGATCCTCCACGCTTTGCCATGGCGTCAACTCACACCGATGTCCGGATAGACTATGCTGCGAGGATTTGATACATGGCATCTTGCAATCTTGTCGCCTCAAGGACGTATAATCCCTCACTAAACATGGTTTTATGAGTGGAATCCGGCACAGTCTTCCGTAGAAAAACAACTCTTTTTCGAGTACATCATCCACGTCAGGTCTCTCCCTCGGTGCGTCTTTCTTGGAAAACAGGGACGATAGCCGGGACTTCCGCTTGCTCTCCCAAGGCGGGGATGGCCACAGCTGAAATGGAAGCCGTGGGCATGCTGGCTTCCTGTGCCAACGATCCCATTCCTTCTGGCTTTTACTGTCCGACCATTTTCCAGACTCATAGAGTCGCACTAGTTTCGTGACTGGAAATTGGTGGTGGTTCAGGCCGTAGGATATGTGATCGTTGTCCCAGAGATGCCGGTGGAAATGGTATGGAGAAAGCAGGTGGCAGTACCAGATCATTGCGACGTCCCTAGACTCCTTGTTAGTCTACTTCATTGACCCATCAGATGTGTCTGGGTCATTTTGGGAGAAACGGACCATGGCGGTGGGCAGTCGTAGGCTGAGACCCCCTTCAGGTGCAGGAATCGTATGTAATTGATGTAACGCCATTCTGAGTAGACCAGAGCTTCTTGCAAGATTCGGCCCTCTTCATCTGTTTGAAAATGGGGGATAAGTTTCAGAAATATCTCAATGAGTTCGAAGTGTTTCTATCTTCAGTTAGCATCTAGTCCCTGTGAGCGCGGCAATACCCTTCCATGACTCACCAAGGACACGGTCTCGAGCGGAATTTTGGCCTTATCCTTTGGCCAAGGATCTTCAAAAACAGTGACCGGGGTCATCTTCAACTAGGAGAAGCGGATAGATTTGCAGAAGGTCAGATCTGAGGTCATCTTGGAGGCGTCTACACACGATCTCTTTAATGCTGTACGGATACGAGCCTTTGAGTCAATGAATGACCGCCAAGTCTTTAAACAGCGGCGGACATTCCGCGCCTCCGCGCTGGTGTGCCTAGCGGACGTCGCAGGTTAATCCCGCATTCAGCTGATCGCTTGCACTACAACTCACACGGAAGAATGGGTTTAGCGTATCAAACCCCGGTCACTAGCGCCCGATGGAGGCTGTTCAGTGTCATTCATGCCCCTGATTGAGCTTGGTGTGCTTCTGTAAACACAGCACAAGGCAGATTCGCTCGCCCTGTGTTTCGTTTCCATTGCCCGGTTTCTAAGAACAACACCGGGCAGGGTTTTTTGTCTCTCCAAGTTTCGGTGTCCATGGCAAGTGGGTACAGCTTCATGATCACGAACGCATCGGAGATTACAAGCAGGCACTGAGTGACTTGATTTTCATGGCCATCTGTCCGCAAAGCCTAAAGTACTTGACAGCTCGAAAATTCACATTGTCCTACCAAGACTCCGCCCTTTAGGGTGCCTAACATTCTTGTTGGCCATCCGACGCGTCCACCCGCAGAACTTCGTAGGGAATAATGTTCACAACGCCCACCAACCCATTCTCTGTTTTGGGGATCATATCAACAGAAAGGGTTTCTCCAGGCCCAAACGGTGTCGCGCCCAAATTCTTGATGTCCTGCAGAATGCTCCGGAAATAGTTCCACATCGTGCTAGGAACTATCGCAAGAACATGATTGTCTCCTTCAACAAGGTAGGTCGAGATATCGGCGACAGGATTACTCGGGTCGAGCGGATGCACGCGAGCACCATTGACTTCCAAAGTGATCGAATTCAGAGCCGGAGAGAACTGAATATAGGCACCGACCGATGCATTTGTTTCCGCGGATGAGGCGGGTGGCCAGGTGAAGTTGGCGAAATAGTAGCCAATACCAGACGTGTTTGTGGCTGCTGGAATTTCCGTCCAAGGGACGAGATCTTCAAGATGGTGCCTGGTGTTTCGCTTAACTGCTACCACTGCTGCATTGTACATATCTTCTGGGGCTTCCCAATGCTCCAGTATGAGATCCCAAGATGCAAGTTTGAATGAAGACGCCACATTTGTTGCGTAGCAAACCTTGCCGCCAGTTGATAATGTAAGAGTTGTGGGATCTGCGGACGCAGCAGCGTTGACGACGATCTCCTGGTCATTTGCGCGATAGCCCAGAATATTGCCAGAGAGCTCCGTAAAGTGAAACTCGGGTGTCGCAACGTCTTCAAGGCAAGAGTCAGCGAAGCCGATGATCTTGGTCTGGTTTCCAGCTAGAGTGAGAGAGATAGTTGTTGTCGACCCATCCGTCTCGTAGTGCACGACAGGCTCCCTCGCTCCAGTCCAGGCATCAAAGAAATAAGGAACCCCTGAAGATTGCACGATGAGCTCTCCATTTTCGGACTCAGCGTCGCTGAAAACGTAGGCATAGCTGATGTTGTTGGAGGAGTCCTCGCGCCAGGTAGTATGCCATGTCCCGTTTGTCTTGACGCCAGCTCTTGGTTTGAGACCGAGTCCTTCGAGCTTCTCGGCGATTTCGCCCTCTGCAACCTGGTAGACAGAGCTAATATTAAGGAGCTTCTGCAAGCTGGTATCGAAAGAAAGGCTGACTTTGGATGCTTTACTCTCGGTCGCATACTCTCCGGGAGAGCCGCCAGCAATTATGATGGGCAGCCCAGCTTCCGCAAACTCAGTGAGCTTGAGGAGACCCGATGAGGTAAGATTTTGTGATCCAGGCACTACAAGCGCTTGGTATCTGGCATCCTCGGGCGCGAGCAAGTTATTCCTTACATATGCCTGGGGGAGGGCAAAGTTATCAGGAGACAAGTAGTTGTAGGACCACCCTGCGCAAAGTCAGCGATCACAACATGACTTCCATAACATGTTCTAGCATACCTTTCAAGGTCAGATCATCATATGTATAGAGCGTGCCCATGTTAGGATCCGTTACCGTCTGTTTGTTGTAAAATGCAACATCGGTTCTTGGGACGCCTGTCTGCTGGATGTGCTGAACCCTGCCCATGTAGTCCAGCCCAGCTTGAAGGCCATGGTCCCAGTCGGGGCGTTTGGGAGAGTATAAATCGGAAACGTAGTATCTGAATGCTGTGTATCCAGGCCAAGTTGTTTGAGGGTAGTTGCCCGAGTATGATTGCCCATGAATGACGAACTGATTGACCCCTCCTGCGACAGCGCGGTTCATGGCGAAAAGTAGGTCTGGGATAGTGAAGCGGTAAGCACTTCCAAACACCGCACCAAGCTCATTGGAGATGACTGTCTTCCTTGCCAGATTGGCTGGCCCCGAGAATTGCCTGTACCCATCGAGGCTGTCATGGAATTGCAGGCTTTCGCACTCAGGTGCATCAACAAATGGGATGGATGCCTCCATATCCATGGGTAGGTTGTATGAAACTTGCGCAGACAGGCCCATACCAAGAGAGTGTGTCCAATTCGCAAGGGTGGTCAGGTACTCCTGGTAGCCATCGGCGAGCGCAGCACGGTAGTCGTTGATGTAACCCTGGCCTTTGTCATGAGTGTCTAGAAAGCACCGTGTATGACCTGGTGCATCATTCTGAAGGTTGATGTTGTTGTTGTTGAATATGATGAGAGGGAGATACGGGCGCAAGTCGTAGCCAAACAGCTTCTCGAATCTCTCGGGAAGGGTCCTTGTCCACGATGTATTAGAGAGAATTTCCATACTATCCTCCCAGCCTGAATCGCATGTCAGTCAGACATCCTGAGATGTTGTTCGCTTCAACTTACCGTAGTTTCCAACTTCCATGAGAAGCTCTTTGACATTGTCGACGAAAATATACTGCTCCCAAAAGTCACGAACAACCTCGGCGCCTTTGCTGCTGAAGTGATCAACAACGTAGGACCCGTTGTCCCAGATTGTCTCGGTTCTGTTGGATGTAAAGATGAGGTTCTTGTGTCCAGACAAAGTTTGATAGAAGAAAAATAGTTCGTAATCAGAGGCGTTGAATGGGTTGTTGGATAGGTCGATGGAAAGCTCGCCGGCAGATGAGATCATAGAAGTGACATCGTTCAACGAGCCATTCCGCAAGACTAACTCTTCCCACCAAATCTCTGCCGTTCCGATGATTGAGGTTGTGTTGATTGTCACGTTTGTTCTAGACGTGACAATTCCCGATACAGCGGCGACGAGCTGTCCGGAGCCCCATCCCGGGATGGTGCCGTTGAAGTGTCCATCGGCGGTAACGGCCTGAGTCTCGGCGAACTTTCAATGCTGAGTGAGCTTCGAGAACCTCCCGTTGGCAAATTAACTTACCAAATCCCATTGAAGACCTTCATTGCTGGCATCAGCAGGCACGCCCTGACCCTGGTTCGGACCAATCGTAAAGTCCATGGACAGACCAGATTCATTGTGAGCCTCAAGGCCTGCGATGAGAGTCTTGATGAAATTTGGGGTTCCGAAGCCAGAAGTTGACCAGTTGACGCCCACAGGCGGTGGTCCTAGTTGGCCGCCATAGTTGTAGAAGGGCAAGAACTCGGCTCCTCCCGCCCCGATTTTGCTAGCAGACTGGATGTCTGACTTCACCTTTTCGGGATCAACAGTGCCATCGGGGAGCCAATATCTGAATCTAGGGCGTTGGACAGCAGGAGGATCAAGGAAGTCGTTGCCGTTGTTCTGTCGGGCGGCCTGGCAAGAGCGTGACAGCAGAAGACCGGCAAAAGCTTGAACACACGAGATGAGTTTCATTATGCAAAATAGTTCTAGCGCTTTCGTCTGCAATGTGCCTGTTTCTACATTGAGGTGAATGGTAACGGCCAAGTCTATATACCAATGCCTCGTCGAGATGCTTAACGCAATTACGACGGACTTCTACTCATTGACATTCATTGCTTGTCTTTCGCTTCGCGTATTCGGCCCAAATACGGGCGAAATTGACATCATTATAGAGGGCGGTGTCACTTCAAGTTCAGATCCAATACCAAACGAGAAAGGGCAGAACTCGCATATTCTCTGCGAATACGCGTATATCGTATTATTGCCCAAAATGCCACTTGACTCTAAACGAGGGCACAGCCAATAGAGCATGGCCGGAATTTCCCATAGCTGAGGGGTATTTCGATCTCCAGCGACTCCTCGTACACATAGATATCCCTGTTCAGCTGCGTATGCCCGTCATGTTGCTCGTGTGACCCTCCTTCGTAGTAGACTGCCGCCATCATCCACCTCAAGACTAACGCGATATCGACATTTCCCCACGATATTCGACGTGGGGAAACGCAACATCATGGAATTCCCCGAGAGCTACCCTAACATTCCCTCGGTATCCACTCCCCCGGGTCCGGCCGTTACTACCTGTCGATATACTCGGGTCACCACTTCGCTCTATATTTTCCTCAAAGATGGTTCTTTGAAATCTTTCCCGAAGTGGCCATCGGGAGATACAAACATATCAAGCATGGCTAATCATTTGACATTGCATGACACATATCCAATTACCACAAACACATATATCCGCTCCTCCAGGTTAGCTGCCATTTTCAATGGACGATACCCACCCCAAACCGGCGGTAAAACTCTGTCACGAAGTCGGGATCCGCCTTTGCAGGACTGAGTACCACCCGAGCTCCTCTATCTTCCAAATGCTCTTTCAGATCCTGATCCATGTCATCTTTAACGACTTCAACAACGATTTCTTGCAAGTGTGGCAATCTCTCGCCCCTCCCTTCGACAAAGCCGTCGAATAGGGCTGCCAGGCATTTCTTCATTTGGTGGAGGGAATTTCTGCGACGATCTCCCACTGGCTCGGTCTGAAAATGGAACTTCTCAAGTGATGGCGGCAGTAAGTCGAGAGCTCGCGGCGCCGCCATCTTGTCCAATGGGCAAACGTCAGGGGCATCTGCAATTTGATACTCCTCGTCGGCCTTTTCGAATTTTGGCCCCATGAGAGTGAGACCGTCAATGTGCAGGGACTTGAGTCGTTTGAAGCCCTTCATATCGACGAGTGTTCGGCCGGCGGTGCCATAATGAACCATCATCCACATGGAGAGCTCCACCAAGGTCTCACCAGCGGACTCCATGATGGCGTTCATCATCGCGCCAGCGTCAAGGTTGTGGCCACACCCGTGCCACTTCGTCTCGTATGCAAAGTGCAAGCACTTCAAGCTAGGCAGGCTTGAAAGCAATTCGCGCATCTCTTCTGGCCCGAAGGTGCACCCCACGAGGTCCAGTCTCTCAAGGCGTGGACTGTACTTTGGGTATTCGGGATCGAATGGCATGCCGGTGTATCCGTCATCGAGTGCGATGCAGCCGCCAATGTAGGCCTCGCGAACAGATTTGATAGCCAGGAAAGGGGTGTTGACCGTCATCGCGTTCCTGCATTCATACCCAGTTCCCGTGAACGGTCTGTAAACTTCCAACTTGGATAGACCAGCTTCTGCAATCTTCGGATCGTTCGCACGCCGCACAAGGGCATCCAAGACGGGCCAGATGATCTTCCTGTCGGAGCGCGGTGTCTCTTCTCCATAGCGAAGGTGTCCTGAATTTCTGCCGGGGATCTGGTCCCAACTTTGTGGCAGCGCAAGCTCACGCACATTGGTGAGAAGCGTTAACAGCAACACCTCGGCATGCCCGGACGTGTCGTCGAGCATCCCCGAAAGCCAAGCTTCCGAATCTACACCAGCTTCGGCAAGATAGGGCGAGTCATTCAGAAGATGCCGAAGTTTGTCGATGACAGCTTCGTCTTTGATGCGCGGGAAAATCGGATGGAGCGCCGGGTGTTCATCAACCATGTCATCAGGGGCATCCGTCATCCCCACATTGCCCTTCAGGTCGGCCGTTTCGATATATCGAGGAATCACTGGGTTGCGAACGATTTCTGCGATGAGCTCGGTAGCACCCTGAAGTTCGATGCCAGTCTCCTGCGTGACAGGGTCCCAATGCCCCTTCCAGGTGTGCCTCGGTCTCCTATCACCTGATGAGCAGCGGCTACTGAACACAACTGGGGCCTTGACATACCCTCTTTGTTTTAACACTGTGTACCTTGAGTAAGAAAAGTGTTTGTATCTCTTTCGAATGCGGTTGTGCTCGTCTAGATAGATCTTGCTTGCATCATGCAAAGTGGAGCATGTGACTGCGACATTCTCGATGGACTCGGGGATGGTCTCTTTGATGATGCGTTGAAGCAGCTCGAGTGGGAGTCCTAGTAACGACATTTTGCTCGGTAACAGAGTTGAATCCAGTAAGCTGACATCAACGTTCCGAAATTCTTGTTCCAGCCAACTTCAAATGGACACCGAAGTTGTTTTGTACTTGATAGTGAATGTCAATGCGGCGGTGACGTCCTGGGCTGCCCCGCATTCCTTCGAGGCAGCAGCTGCAATTTAGCTCAATCCTTCAGCCAGTGATCTCCACCAAGTGCCCCCCATGTGAAGGCAGCGCTAGGCAGGCGCTGTGTGTAAATCGTCCGATGTCAAATAGTCACCATAAAGGTGCTGTTTCAGTTGAGCCTCCTATCAATGGTAAGGTTCTGTCACAATACCTACCTTCACGTTCTCAATATGATCAGAGCGTCTGCCTAATTGTTCGGTTGAAAATACAGATCGTAGACGCATGGTATTGCTAGCGCATCATCTCTTGCTGTTCGTAATTTGGGATAACAACTGCAAGAGCTAGAAAGAGTCTTCATATTGCAGTTGCAAAAGCGCGAACCGAGAATTTCCTCCAATCCTCTTCATCTGTAACTTCCGTTGCCAACCTAACTGGAGAGCTCATCATTGGTGATCATTAAGCAAATTGAAATGGTTTGACTTCGATATCTCGAGAAACTTATTCTTGAAAACGTGAAAAGCCTGTTCGGTGAGTATGGGAAAACACAAACGCACTTGCACTGGTTGCACGACATGAAGCTCGTGGCGTTAATGATCACTTGCTTGCCACCCCCACGAAAAGTTCCAGCAGCATTGTTCACATTATGGCCACTTGATCTAGCAAACAAATGTCAACACCAGCGCGGGGGAAGAACCCTTTTCGAGACGCTCGCGCGGGCCCGTGAAACAATTTAATTATCGTTAATGATGTTTGCTTCTGGCAAACATTCGCTTGATGATTATCTTCATCTACATTTCTAGTTGCGACAGCTGTTGAAAAGGGGACGCAGAAGGGGGGAGGGATTTCAGGGACTCGGTACGTTGTCTGACCCTCATCAAGCGACGGTGTCGGAGAATCGGAAGGTATTGCGGTCTGGCCAGGCGTTGTCGCCGAAGTCGACGCGATGTTCACTGAAAGCACTCGTCATAAGTGAAAGCCTTATGCGGCAGCCAGCTCGGCCCGTTAGTTACGCCTTACATCTGTGGTGTGTTGGAAACCGTGATTGTAATCCTCACCTCTGAAAAGAATAACTGTGAAACGTAAGTTCATTCATTGAGCTGCAGTGACGGCTGTGTATGTGCAACCCAACCTTGAATCGGAACGGAGCGAACTTCGGTGATATTGGATGATCATCTTCACCCCTTGCCTGTTATTTGATCCCGATGCAGGGTGTGAGAGTGCATACATCCTAGCAGAAAGTCGCATGGTCAATCTGTCGGCTGAGCTGACGAAAACCATAAATACTGCTGGTCATCCTGATCAAGTTCTCAGAATCCCTCCTATAACGAAGGAACATCGACCAGTCACAGTCAGGAGACTTACCTGCATACGATCTTCTCATCCACCCAACTATATTTCAAACCCTCTAATCATGCGTTTCACTTCAGTTGTTGCCCTCGCCCTCGCCTGCGTTGCCTCAGCGTCGCCGGTCCCTCAAGGACACAAGGAGGCCTTCAGACTCCCTCAAGAGCCCACTGACGCTGTCAATGCATGATGTCAAGTAAGTGCGTGAACTGCTTCTTACTAGTGGATGCACCGAGAAGAACGGCTTACTAAAGCTCTTGAAGTAAAGTCGACTGTTACAGGGGTGCCTCACCACAAGACTCCTGCGAACTTCTTTCGATGACTTTCAACGTGGAAATATTGCCGATTGGAAGCTGGCCTACTTGAAGGAGTTGTGATCAGTTCGAATAGCTCATGCCGACCAGTTTTCAAAGTCATTGGGTTGCCGGAACGTTCAAAATCTCATCTGTGCTGCTTCTTTACATATAATTGGGACCTAGGGACCCTTGAGCAGTTACTCTCAGTGAGATCATAGTATGAGGGGCGGTACATTCAACACTCGTTCTTTTCTGTAGGAGGCTATTACATGATATGGAGGAGCTTTAGTTCATTTGTTTGCGACTGTTGTGAAGATAAACTCGTTCATTAATGCCATAAAAGCCCATGCCGCGATTTGGGACCATTTGAACATATGGCACACATGCATCCTTCACGGCCATGTCTGATATCATCCATTCATAGACTGAATCACGTGGTTCATGTTGCACATCGTCTCTCTAATGCGTCAAAGATGGATGCATTTTGACATGTTGTATTGTAGAAAGTCGTCCCACCATCTGAGTTTTCCACCAGAAATGATTCCTGCTCAGTCCAGAAAAAGACGGGAAAATATTAAAGCAGCACAAGAAGCAGTGACAACAATTTTGATGCTCCCGCCTGACATGCAAAAATGTTTCATGGAGATGACGGAATACGAGGAGCATGTAATATGGACCAATTCGCATGTGACATTTGTCAGCTGTCATTACAGCGGCTCTTGAAGACATGTCGTACCCCTGAGAAGAAAAGAAGTGAGTTCTGACACAAGCATTCATGGC